AAACTGGGGAGGGGAGGGGGAATGTTTTCATACTCACAGAGAAAAACACCTGTGGTTCAATAAACGTTACTCAAGGTCTAAGCCAAATCTAAATATAGACAATACAAAACTTGCAATAAAAGAGCAGGACATCCACACACACAAACAAGCACACACCCAATATGAAATTTGCAATAAAAGAGCAGGGCATCCACACACACAAACAACTACCGCATTTACTTAGCTGCAAGCATGAAGACAAAAGTTTTGAACAGCATATATAAGACAAGCATAAAAATTAAACTATTTCATTGTCACATTTCGTCTTTTTAAAATTTTTTTTGAGCTGGAGTGCAGTGGCATGATCTTGGCTCACTGCAACCTCCACCTCATGGGTTCAAGCAATTCTCCTGCCTCAGCTTCCCGAGTAGTTGGGATTACAGGCGCCTGCCACCACGCGGCTAATTTTTGTATTCTTAGTAGAGATGGGGTTTCACCATGTTGGCCAGGCTGGTCTCGAACTCTTGACCTTGTGATCTGCCTGCCTCGGCCTCCCAAAGTGCTACGATTACAAGTGTGAGCCACCGTGCCTGGCCCCACATTTCATCTTTAACTCAAATAATGCAAAGAATTTAAAAGATGACCTTAATGTTATACAGTCATCTAAAGAGTTAACTAAGATCAAAACTATAGACATAAGAACTGAATAAAAGCAGCTGGGCACGGTGGCTCACACCTGTAATCACGGCACTTTGGGAAGCTGAGGTGGGAGAATCATGAGGTCAAGAGTTCAAAATCAGCCTGGCCAACATGGTGAAGCCCTGTCTCTACTAAAAAATACAAAAATTAGCCAGGCATGGTGGTGTGCACCTGTAGTCCCAGCTACTCGGAAGGCTGAGGCAGGAGAATTGCTTGAACCCGGGATGTGGAGGTTGCAGTGAGCCGAGTTCATACCACTGCACTCCAGCCTGGACAACAGAGCGAGACTCTGTCTCAAAAAAAAAAAAAAAAAAGGCTGGGCGCAGTGGCTCAAGCCTGTAATTCCAGCACTTTGGGAGGCCGAAGTGGGCGGATCACCTGAGGTCAGGAGTTCAAGACCAGCCTGACCAACATGGAGAAACCCCATCTCTACTAAAAATACAGAATTAGCTGGGCGTGGTGGCACATGCCTGTAGTCCCAGCTACTTGGGAAGTTGAGGCAGGAGAATCGCTTGAACCTGGGAGGCAGAGGTTGCAGTGAGCTGAGTTCGTGCCATTGCATTCCAGCCTGGGCAACAAGAGTGAAACTCCGTCTCAAAAAAAAAAAAAAAAAAAGAACTGAATAAAAGCAAAACAAACTCCCCACAGGGGGAAAAGAAAAAATAAAAAAGAAAGCATAGTAGCTCATTCCTGTAATCCCAGCACTTTGGAAGGCCGAGGCAGGAGGATCACTGGAGCCCAGGATTTCGAGGCCAGCCTGGGCAAGATAAGAAGACACTGTCTTTACAAAAAAAAAAAAAAATTATCCAGGCATGGTGGTACATGCCTGTGGTCCTAGCTACTTGGGAGGCTGAGGCAGGAGTATTGCTTGAGCCCAGGAGGTCGAAACTGCAGTGAGCCATGATTCTGCCACTGTGATCCAGCCTGGGCAACAAAGTGAGACGCTGTCTCTAACAAAAAAGTGAGTACAAAACTGATAATGAATACTACAGCACAAAGCAAGTAGGAGGCAACCTAGGAAAAGTTGCGTTCCTGCCATACTGCATACAGCACTTCACTCCATTTCCTTTCCCTGTTGACAATAATCACCAGGAATCCTAGGGGTGACAAGATGCCATGGCTTCCTCAGATTAAAATTCTCAGTGTCATTAACAGAGGTGGCTTCACCTCCTTCTGCCAGCAGGATTGTACAGATCCATTATGAGCAAACAGAACAAGGGCCTGGAGAATGCAGGGCTTGGGAAAAAGGACCCAGTTGTCACCTTCCATGTAAGTCTCATTGTGACAGGTGGCAAGGTGGGCAGCCTTGTAAGATGCTCCCCACCAATGCCCTCCCCTGAGGATAGGCTGGAACTAGTGACTGGCACCGAACAGACAGAGTGCAGCGGTGATGAAGTTATAAGAGACTGCAGCTTTTGTCCTGCTCTGCTCTCTCCGGCTGTCCTTGCTTGTGTCCTTTGATGGAGACAGCTGCCATGTTGTGGGCTGCCCTGAAGACTACTCCGTAGCAAGACGAAGGGCAGAGGGCAGTCTTTAGCCAATAGCCATAAGAAACCAAGACCCTTGGCCTGACAGCCTGTGAGGAACTGACTCCTGCAACAACTACATGAGTGAGCAGAGAAGCAGGCCCTCCCCCAGGGAAGCCTGGAACACACCTTCACTGCAGCCCGGAGGGACACTGCGCCCAGGACTCAGCTCAGCCATGCCCAGATTCCCGACCCACAGAAACTGTGATGAAATAGATGTGTGTTATTTTAAGTGGCTACGTTTTGGGGTAATTTGTTATGGCACATTAGAAAACTAATACACCTTGATAAATAATGTGCTTAAAGAGATAATAAATCACTACTTTTAAGTCTAAAAGGGCATTTGTAAATTATTTATATAGGATCGACTAAGCCACTGGAGGTTATATCAACTTCAAAAAGGAAAACCAGAATTTCAACATCTGGAACCACCGGGTGCAGTGGCTCATGCCTGTAATCCCAGCACTTTGGGAAGCTGAGGCAGGTGGATCGTGAGGTCAGGAGTTCGAGACCAGCCTGACCAACATGGTGAAACCCCATCTCTACTAAAAATACAAAAATTAGCCAGGTGTGGTGGCGCATGCCTGTAATCCCAGATACGCAGGAGGCTGAGACAGGAGAATCGAACCTGGGAGGTGGAGGCTGCAGTGAGCCGAGATTGCACCACTGCACTCTAGCCTGGATGACAGAGTGAGACGCTGTCTCAAAAAACAAACACACACTCACACACACACACACACATACACACACACACACACACACACACACCCAGCCAAAAAAACAACAAAAAAAAGTGAGCTATTGCTAGGTACAGTGGCTCTTGCTTATAATCCCCCCAGCACTTTGGGAGGCCATGGTGAGAGGATCACTTAAGCCCAGGAGTTCAAGATCAGCCTGAGCAACATAGGGAGACTGTCTCTACTAAGATTTTGAAAAAACAAAAAACTGAGCTCTCTCATTTACATGAAATGTTCAGAATAGGCAAATCTATAGAGACAGAAAGTAGATTCGTGGTTGCCATGCCAGATGAGAAGGAATGACTGCTGACAGGCAGCGACCGCTTTTTGGGGTGATAAAATGTCCTGGAATTAGATCATTGTGGTGGTTATGCAACCTTGTGAATGTACACTTTAAAATGGGACATTTTTACGGTTTCTGGATTTGATTTCAATGTAAAAAAAAAAAAATTAAGTGAACTCTTTTTTTTTTTTTTTTTTGAGACGGAGTCTCACTCTGTCGCCCAGGCTGGAGTGTAGTGGCCAGATCTCCGCTCACTGCAAGCTCCGCCTCCCGGGTTCACGCCATTCTCCTGCCTCAGCCTCCCGAGTAGCTGGGACTACAGGCACCTGCCACCTCGCCCGGCTAGTTTTTATTTTTTAGTAGAGACGGGGTTTCACCGTGTTAGCCAGGATGGTCTCGATCTCCTGACCTCGTGATCCGCCCATCTCGGCCTCCCAAAGTGCTGGGATTACAGGCTTGAGCCACCGAGCCCGACCTAAGTGAACTCTTATGGAGGGAAGCTAACACTTCCATTTCAACATCTCCCCAAATAGTTATGCTCCATTCCCGCACACAAGATGATAGACTGGCACTGATCGAGGGGGACACATAAATGATGGCGTGACATTGGCCTGATGACACAGCTCAGATCTCACTCCAGGTTTGTTTGGGGGTTTCTGCATTGCATCTTTCCAGGAAAATTGCTAGCAAAAGTCCTCCCCCAGTAAATACATTTGTCTTTTTCAATGTTTTTGTTGTTATAGATGTTACATTCCTGTTCTTAAGACTTAAAGGACTGGGCGTGGTGGCTCACCCCTGTAATCCCAGCACTTTGGGAGGCGGAGGCAGGTGGATTGTGAGGTCAGGAGTTCGAGACCAGCCTGGCCAACATAGTGAAACACCATCTCTACTAAAAATGAGCCAGGTGTGGTGGCACCCACCTGTAATCCTAGCTAGCTGGGAGGCTGAAGCACGAGAATTGCTTGAACCCGGGAGGCAGAGGTTGCAATGAGTTGAGATTGCGCCACTGCACTCTAGCCTAGGCAAACAGAGTGAGACTCTGTCTCTAAATAAATAAATAAATAAATAAATAAAAATTTTAAAAAAGACTTAAGACAATTTTTACCTTATTTCATAATACTTAATTGGCCACTCCTTGCTATGAGCTGCAAGGTAAGAAAACTTATCAAACAAAACATTTACAGAGGAAGACATATTTTCAAAATCAAGATTTCATTTCAGCATCTTATTTTTCATTATTTTAAAAAATTATCATTATTATTCTTTTCTTTTCTGTTTTTTTTTTCTTTTCTTTTCTTTTGAGATGGAGTTTCGCTCTGGTCACCCAGGCTGGAGTGCAATGGCACGATCTCAGCTCACTGCAACCTCTGCCTCCCAGGTACAAGCAAATTCTCTTACCTCAGCCTTCCTAGTAGCTAGGATTACAGGCATGCACCACCAAACCCAACAAATTTTTGTATTTTTAGTAGAGATGAGATTTCACCATGTTGGCCAGGCTGGTCTCAAACTCCTGACCAAAGGTGATCCACCCACCTCAGCCTCCCAAAGTGGTGTGATTATACGCATGAGCTACTGTGCCCGGCCTATTATTATTTTCAAGACAGGGTCTCACTCTGTTGCCCAGCCTGGAGTGCAGTGGTGTGATCATAGCTCACTACAGCCTCAAACTGCTGGGCTGAAGTGATCCTTCTGTCTCAGCTTCAAACTCCTGGGCTGAAGTGATCCTTCTGTCTCAGCCTCCCCAGCAGCTGGGAGTATAAGTGTGCACCACATCACCCAGCTTTGCTATTTATTTAAATGTCATTCCCCAACACATATCAGGAGTGACATATGCTTCCCATGATTACATAGCAAAACATACTCCATAGCCAGAAAAAATATTTATATGACATACGGCCTAGTATTCTAAATCAAGGCAGGATCTTCCAACACGAGCAGGAGGGAAAAGAAACATGTACATTCTATAACATGATTATAAGAATTGAGATAGATGAAATGAAAAACAACATCTTTGAACAATTACAGTTGACAGAACAGCTTTCCCTTATTCCACTTGCTTTAAATAACTCATATCTGTAAACTTGAACACCAACTCTGGCTGATTGAACAGTCTTAATCCCTTGATTTTCCATACTGAACATCACCCAATATATAGTGAAGATCAAAGGCGACTTCTTCCACCAAGCTCTGTGTCCAGCTGTGTTTCTGAGGTCACACGTGTCCCCTCATGGACACCAGATCAGATACTTCGGTAGTCAGAGCCGCGGGCTACAAAGGCGGCAGCTTCCCATTCCACAGTGAAGAATGAAATTGTTCCAAAAAACCCAAATATCACCATGACCAGGAGTTGCCAGTGAAGAAGAAGGTAGTTGCTGTAGAAAAATGCCACGGCTGCGCAAATAGACTAAGAACAAACAAAACAAATCACAACAGGCACACCGGGGGCCATGCTGAGCCACAATTAGCCCCTAGCCCCACTCCTATCCGGCCCCAAGGACACCTGGAACTGGCAGTGCTTTCTATTCTTTCTGCATCTAGGTATGACTTCCTCAGTCACTGACTCACAAACATGCACCATAAATTCCTGCTACAATCCCTGGTATTTAAAACAGCATTTTGGCCAGGTGTGGTGGTTCATGCCACCCAACACTTTGGGAGGCCAAGGTGGGAGAAATGCTTGAGCCCGGAAGTTCAAGACCAGCCTGCACAACATGGCAAGACCCCATCTCTATAAAATAAAATAAAATGAAAAAAAACAGCATTTTGTGGAAAATTGGAGTAACAAGAATGTACAGAGTAAGAAATACACTTGTCTGTATTACGAGTGAATAGAATTCTGGTATCTAAGGAAGGAAATCTCTAATCAGAGCCATAGAGACCAGAACGTAAAATCTGTTACACAAAAAATCTTACTGCTCATGGCTTCCTAATTCTATTCAAAAATCCTTTTAAATCCCCAACTTTTGTTTAAAAAACATAAGACAAAAGCAAAAAAAAAAAAAAAAGAAGAAACAAAAAAAATAAAATAAAATAAAATAAGAAACACAGTGTAGCCAGGGCGGTGGCTCATGTTTATAATCCCAGGACTTTGCAGGGCCCAAGCGGGCGGATCACTTGAGGCCAGTAGTTTACGACCAGCCTGGCCCAAATGGCGAAACCTCATCTCTACCAAAAATATAAAAACTTAGCTGAATGTGGTAGTGCATGCCTGTAATCCCAGCTACTTGGGAGGCAGAGATTGCACTGAGCCAAGATCATGCCACTGCACTCCAGTCTGGACTACAGAGTGAGACTGTCTTTTTTTTTTTTTTTTTTTTGAGACGGAGTCTCGCTCTGTCATCCAGGCTGAAGTGCAGTAGCTTGATCTCAGCTCACTGCAAGCTCCGCCTCCTGGGTTCACACCATTCTCCTGCCTCAGCCATCCGAGTAGCTGGGACTACAGGCACGTGCCACCACGCCCAGCTAATTTTTTTTATATTTTTAGTAGAGATGAGGTTTCACCATATTAGCCAGGATGGTCTCAATCTTGTGACCTTGTGATCTGCCCGCCTTGGCCTCCCAAAGTGCTGGGATTACAGGCTTGAGCCGTGGTGCCCGGCCGACTTTGTTTTTAAAAAAAAAAAAAACAAAACAGGCCAGGTGCAGTGGCTCACACATATAATCCCCAGCACTTTGGCAGGCCAAGGCGGGTGGATCACCTGAGGTCAGAAGTTCAAGACCAGCCTGATCAACATGGTGAAACCCCACCTCTGCTAAAAAGAAAAAAAAAAACACAAAAATTAGCCAGGCGTGGTGGTGTGTGCCTGTAATCTCAGCTACTCGGGAGGTTAAGGCAGGAGAATTGCTTGAACCTGGAAGGCGGAGAATGCAGGGAGTCAAGATTGCGCTACTGCACTCCAGCCTGAGTGACAGAGAGAGACTCTATCAAAAAAAATAAAAGGAAATAAAAATTAAAACCACGATACAAATAACCAAGAAAAACAAGGTAATACACAAAGGAAAGAGCCCTACGTCAAACACAGTCGCAATCTGAAGAGGTTACCTGAACAAACTTGAAGATGGCAAATGCTGGGGCACTGTCTTCAGAATACAGAAAGCCCAAGATACTAAGCAGCTGGGTATTAAAGCAGCTGTCTCCAAGGCCCAACAGAAAACTGCAGAGAATGGCAACTTCTTTGCTGAAGAAAACAAAAATCAATTTAGTATGAGCAATATCTGCTAGAGCCATTTAAAATATACAAGCAACCCACCCACAAAAGCATTCTACCTGCAAGTTTTAAATCCTATGAAACAAAAATAAAGACAAAGCTGGCGCAGTGGCTCATGCCTGGAATCCCAGCACTTTGGGAGGCTGAGGTGGGCAGATCACTTGAGGACAGGAGTTAGAGACCAGCCTGGCCAAGATGGCAAAACCCCACCTCTACTAAAAATACAAAAATTAGCTGAGCATAGTGGCGCGTGCCTGTAATGCCAACTACTCGGGAGGCTGAGGCAGAAGAATCACTTGAACCCCGGAGGCAGAAGTTGCAGTGAGTGGAGATCGCGCCACCTCAGGAGGCTGAGGCACCAGAATTGCTTGAACCTCAGAGGCGGAGGTTGCAGTGAGTGGAGATCACGCCACTTGCATTCTAGGCTTGCAGACAGAGTGGGACTCTGTCTCAAAAAAGATAATAAATAAATAAATAAATAAATAAAGACTAGAATTTATAAGGTAAGAATTTGTGCTCAAATGCACACACCTTTACATTCTAACAAACTCTGGTCTCACCCATTTGTGAAGAAAACGCAGGTTGAGTATCCCTTATCAAGACCAGAAGTGTTTCAAATCTTCTTTTCAGGTTTTGGAACACCTGCATTATACTGACCAGTTAGGTAATTTTAATCTGATAATCTGTAATCTGAAATGTTCTAATAAGCACCTCCCTTTGAGCATCATGTTGCCCCTCGAAAAGTTTCGGATTTTGGAGCATGTCGGATTTCAGATTTTCAGATGCAACATACTCAGTTTGTATAGTTTTGTGGGCTGGGCTCCCCTTGGATTTGTGGAGCTGGACACAAATGTCTGCATTTATAATGAACTTGAGAGTTGAGTGTACTAAACCAATATCCTCAAACGTTATATAAACTGCTCTGGAAGGACTGAATGGCCTCCCCAGTTGCCAGGTTTTCCCTCGCTCCTCTTTGATCTTCCTCCAGGCCCTAATATCTGGATATTTCACTGCTCAAGAAGCAGAGATAAAAAATTCAAATCAGATACTCATGTGCTCCTTCAAGGATCAAGAAAAACATTTAGTGGGGGAAGAGGTTAAAACCAACCATTACAAAAATAACTTAGGATTCTCTAAGGATTCCTATTTAAACTCAGTCTGACTCCATGAACACTTGACAGATGACCTTAGAGAGACACCAGGCTCTCTGAAGAGGATTAACTGCTCCACTTTCAATATCTAGCCATCCGTTACCTCCCACCCGTCCTCAAATGACTAGAGAAATGACAGCCACTATACCTGGATTTGATGTAAGCACTGCTGTCAGTTCCTTTAACAGGAGCAATCGGGGCATCTCCAGGCATGTTGAGAAATATTAGATAAAAAGCTATAAAGTGCACCAGGATGCCCAACAGCACAACTGGATTTCTACCAAAACGATTGTTCTTGCTCAGCAGGCCGAAGAGGCTTCCACCTACAAGTCAAGACGGCAGAAACATCACTAACGTTGCTGAAACATTACACACCCAGGCCTGAGCTATCCACCAAGGAGCCAAGGAATAAACATTCTCACTTGTTAAATTTCTTCAAAAAATCCAACACCTCAGCACTTGCAGACAATGATAATGATGACCAAGCATCAACGATTAGAACAAAAAAGTAAGGTATCAAAATGACTTGCATTTCTATCCAGGAACATTCTTGTATTTCTTCTCTGTGAATTATTGTACCCCGCAAGCTATCCCCTTTGACCTGTAGCTTATAACAGAAATAAAATAAGGACACAACTTGTCATTACGACCATGTTTTTGTTGTAATCATAGCCAAACAAGCCAAGGTATCACACTGAAAGGCAGTCATTATGGATTCTGAGAATTATGTGTGAGCTCCGAAGAGGAGTCGGAGAGGCCTTGGAAGACTCAGCAGCCAGAACAGCTAAGGATGTCTCAAGAGCTGACAGGAGAGTCCTCAACAGTGAGAAGGGAAGAACTCTGTAACTGAAAGGAGGAAGACTATGGGGCATGACCTTTACAATTTTTAAGTGATTTCTACCCCAGAAATCTATACCAGCAAACCTATATATCAAAAGTGAAGGATGGCTGGGTGCAGGGTCTCATGCCTGTAATCCCAGCATTTTGGGAGGCCAAGGTAGGAGAACTGCTTGAGGCCAGGAGTTCCAAACCAGCCTCAGCAACAAAGCAAGACTCTTTTATAAAAAAATAAAGAAAACATTGTATATATATTTTAAAAAGTGGGCCAGGTGTGGTGGCTCACACCTGTAATCCCAGCACTTTGGGAGGCCAAGGCGGGCAGATCACCTGAGGTCAGGAGTTCGAGACCAGCCTGGCCAACATGGTGAAACCCTGTCTCTACTAAAAATACAAAAATTAGCCAGGTGTGGTGGCACATGCCTGTAGTCCCAGCTACTTAAGAGGTGGAGGCAGGAGAATCACTTGAACCCGGGGGGCAGAGGTTGCAGTGAACCGAGATCACGCCATTGCACTCCAGCATGGACGCCACAGTGAGACTGTCTTAAAAAAATAAAAAAAATTTTAAAAATGAAAAAAGTTGCTGGGCACAGTGGCTCATGCCTGTAATCCCAGCACTTTGGGAGGCCAAGGTGGGCAGATCATGAGGTCAAGAGATCGAGACCAGCCTGACCAACATGGTGAAACCTTGCCTCTACTAAAAATATAAAAATTAGCTGGGCGTGGTGGCATGCGCCTGTAGTCCCAGCCACTCAGGAGGCTGAGGCAGGAGAATCGCTTGAACTCAGGAGGCAGAAGCTGCAGTGAGCCAAGATTGTGCCACTGCACTCCAGCCTGGCAACCGAGCGAGACTCCGTCTGGGGGAAAAAAAAAAAAATTAAAAAGTGAAGGTGAGCAGCAAAAACAAAACAAAACAAAAAAACCCTGCCTAGAAAATGGGCAAAAGATATGCACATACATGTCACCAAACGAGATATAAAGAGGATAAATAAACACATTAAAAGATGTTCAACATCATTACCCATTAAAGAAAGTAAAACCACAATGAAACATAACTACACATCTATCACAATCGCTAACATCAAAAATAGTGATAACACCAAATGCTGGCAAGGATTCAGAAAAACGGAACCACTCATACATTGCTGGTACAGCCACTCTGGAAAATATTTGGCAGTTCCTCTCAAGAGTAGGCAACAGGCCGGGCGCGGTGGCTCAAGCCTGTAATCCCAGCACTTTGGGAGGCCGGGACGGGTGGATCACGAGGTCAGGAGATCCAGACCATCCTGGCTAACACGGTGAAACCCCGTCTCTACTAAAAAATACAAAAAATTAGCCAGGCGAGGTGGCGGGCGCCTGTAGTCCCAGCTATTCCGGAGGCAGGAGAATGGCGTGAACCCGGGAGGCAGAGCTTGCAGTGAGCTGAGATCCGGCCACTGTACTCCAGCCTGGGCGACGGAGCGAGACTCCGTCTCAAAAAAAAAAAAAAAAAAAAAAAAAAAGTAGGCAACAGAGGGAGAAAGAACCCAGGCGGAGCCCAGCAGCCTCCATGGATTGAAGAGACGGGGATGTGAATCTAGGGATATCAGGGTAACTAGAGTTCACAGACAACGGTATCAGAAAGGAGAGCGACACAGAAAAACAATTCCAGAGAGCTGCAGACAGTCCCCCTGACTCTTCAGCTGAGGACTGATCAGCACATAAAGGGAGCAAATTAGCAGAAGCCAGGGAAAGAACCAGCCAAGAGGATTAGTGGTACTAGGGCTCCGCCCTCGGCTGGGTATAGTGTCTGGCCCACCAGCCACTTAAAAGCTTATGATTCACAGGAACTGGGTGGAGCACACAGAAGGGTCTTCCCTTAGAAGCAGGAAATAATTGGCCCTAGACTGAGTAATGCTGCAGTCTTGCCCAACAAATCTTAAAAGGTACGCTGTTTTCAATGAAATGAACTACATCTAAGAACAAAGCTCAAAAATACTGACAGGAGGGCCGGGCGCGGTGGCTCATGCCTGTAATCCCAGCACTTTGGGAGGCCAAGGTGGGTGGATCAAGAGGTCAGGAGATCAAGACCAGCCTGGCCAACATGGTGAAACCCCATCTCTACCACAAATACAAAAATTAGCCCGGTGTGGTGGCGGGTGCCTGTAGTCCCAGCTACTTGGGAGGCTGAGGCAGGAGAACTGCTTGAACCCGGGAGGCGAAGGTTGCCGTGAGCCGAGACCGAGCCACTGTACTCTAGCCTGGGTGACAGAGCAAGACTCTGTCTTTAAAAAAAAAAAGAAAAAGTAAAGAAGGGAAAGTGTTAACAATAGGTGAATCCTGTTAAAGGATATTCAGATGTTCTTTGCACTATTCTTATTTTTGCAATTTCTTTTTTTGTTTTGGTTTTTTGACTTTTTTGAGACAAAGTCTTGCTCTGTCGCCCAGGCTGGAGTGCAGTGGTGTGATCTGGGCTCACTGCAACCTCCCATTTCAGCCTCCCAAGTAGCTGGGACTACAGGAATACGCCACTACACCTGGCTAATTTTTGTACTTTTTTTGTAGAGATGGGGTTTTGCCATGTTGCCCAGGTTGGTCTCAAACTCCTGAGCTCAAGCAATCTGCCCACCTCAGCTTCCCAAAGCTCTAGGATTACAGGTGTGAGCACTGCACCTGGCCTATTTTTGCAATTTCTTATCAATTTGAAATTATTTTTTCAAAAAGGCAGGCAGCCTACAGAAAGTGAGTTTCTTCCCAGGTGGTCTACAGGCAGACACTAAACAAGCACTTACCAGACAGACTACCCTGCACCGACTCACCATGGCTAAGCTTCGTCTGCCATTTATATACCCTTAACTCCCAACATCAGTCTCCGGCCCACGAGTCCCTCCTGAGCATCAGCCTGCATTTCCCACTGGACACTTCTCTATTTGGGTGCCTCTCTGGTACTTAGAGGTGTTCAAAATCCCACTCAGCAGATCTCCCCAAACCCCATCTCCTACAGCATTTTCTCTGCCCAGGTTACTCTCATCAACCTGGTCATCATTCTAGACAACTCTCCTCACCCCGCCATGCAACCGGTGACTAAGTTCTGCTGAAACCATGTTCTCATTATTCATTCAACACATTTAACTCATCTATTGGATGCCCAATAATATAGACCTTGTCCTGCTCCAGGTGTTGGCAATAAGGCAGGGACCAAAAAACAAAAACAAACAAACCCTCCAAAGTCCACTTGACCCACGGTGCTTACCACTGCCTGACATGCAAAGTCTTCTGTTTTTATTGTCTGTGTTCTTCCTGAGTAGCATATAAGCTCTACGTGGGCAGGTGTTTTTGTCTGTTTTGTTGACATGACAGATTACAATAAATCTTTGTTGAAGTTCCTCATATCTAACACAATATTCAATATACTGCAAGTGCTGAACAAATCTTTGTTGAATAAGAGTAACTAGTGGAGCATAATAAAAATATTTATTTGGTTTTTGCTGCTAGTTCTTGGCACAGAAATCCTAAAAGGTCTGGAATTTCCTCAGTGATATGAGGGACATTAGTTATTCAGAAGGAGCCACTTTCAATCATACCGAAGTTTATGTTAAGGGGGCAACTCTTGGGGACAGAGGGGTTGGCCTGGGATAGAGCTTCAGGATGGGGCTGGTTCCCAGAAAGACCAAGCCCTAAGCGCTGGAACTTCTAGGCCCCTTTCACTCCCCCTTCAGGGAGGGAAGGCTGGAGATTACATCAATCACCAATGGCCAATGATTGTTTTTTGTTGTTGTTGTTAAGAGACAGGGTCTCCTTATGTTGTCCAGGCTGGTCTCGAACTCCTGGGCTCAAGCAATCCTCCTACCTTGGCCTCCCAAAGTGCATGAGCCACTGCACCAGGCCATGTGGCCAATGATTTAATCAATCATGCCTATGTAACAGGATCTGCATAAATCCCCCTAAAAAGGGTTAGAGGAGCTTCCGGAGTGGTGAACCCAAAATCCATGGAGACAGAGGCTCCTGCACTTAGGGACCCTTTCAGACCCCACCCTTTGCACCTCCTCATCAGGCTGCTCATCTGTATCCTTTATAATAAACTCTAATAGTCAGGAGAGCATTTTCCTGAGTTCTGTGAGTTGCTCTAGGAAATTATCAAACCTGAAGGGGGAAGAGGGCTGTGGGAACCTCCAAATTTGTACCCAAGTCAGAGAGATGTGCCTGAGAGGCCTATGGACCCATGACTGTCTGTCTGTCTGTCTGTAGGACTGAACCCTTAAACCTGTGGAATCTGACGCTAACTCTGGATAGTTAAGTGTTAGAACAGGACTGAGCTGTTGGACACCCAGTTGGTGTCAGGGAATCAGAGAATCAGAGTCAGGAATTCCAAGACATTCTAAATATTTTAAGAGGAAAAGTGGGGAGACACTGTGTGTTTTCTAACACAGGGTTTCCATCTGTGAATTATTTTGCAAATGTTTCATAATTTAGTCATATTAGAATAGCAGTAATAGGCCGGGAGCGGTGGCTCACGCCTGTAATCCCAGTACTCTGGGAGGCCGAGGAGGGCAGATCACGAGGTCAGGAGATAGAGACCATCCTGGCTAACACGGCGAAACCCCGTTTCTACTTAAAATACAAAAACAAAATTAGCCGGGCATGGTGGCAGGCACCTGTAGTCCCAGCTACTTGGGAGGCTGAGGCAGGAGAATGGCATGAACCTGGGAGGCAGAGCTTGCAGTGAGCCGAGATCGCGCCACTGCAATCCAACTCTAGCCTAGGCGACAGAGTGACACTCCGTCTCAAAAAAAGAAGAATAGCAATAATAGAAAAATAAAAACATACATGTTTGGGTAAAAATAAGTAGAAAAAAACAGAAATTCAAGGACAACGGTGAGGGGCACTTAAAATTTCTATTTTACCCATAATAAACCAATATTTTTAATGCTAATGCTTTTTTTTAAAAACCAACCTAAAATTTCTCCAATGCCGATGAAAATGCCAGAAAGTCCAATAAGGCTTTTCTCTTCTGCTCCAAATTTATTTATAGCACCAATACAGGTTCCATATACACCAGAGAAGAAAGTTAATTCCAGACCTTCAGTTAAAAAAAAAAAAAGATGTAATTTATACATTCACATTTTTGTTTATCTTCCCATCTAGTAGTATCTGACAAAAGAATACTTGAGTAGTAAAACACACAAAACAAAACTCATAGAGACTGAAATATTAATCCCCAAGCAGAGCATAATTTGATGTGATGTAACTGATGAAATGGAATTAGCTTCATGCTACGGACTAAATGTTTGTGTCCTCCGGAACTGTGAGAAATAAATGTCTGTTGTTTAAGCCACACAGTCTATGGAAATTTGTTATAGCAGCTAAAATTAAGATACCACAAGATGGCATCTGCCATATATTTCAGATAAAAGTATATAACTCAAATGAACAGATATCCTTATGTTAAAACCTATCACTCTCCATAAAGGTGGAGATGGGCAGAGGTGATAATTAACGTAACTTTGTAATAGTGAAGACTAACGTGCTCATTAACCTTGTTAGTAGCTTTCCAAAGAAACACGAACATTCCTATTTTTTTCTGAGAGAGGGTCTCACTCTGTTGCCCAGGCTGGAGTATAGTGGCACTATCTCAGCTTACTGCAACCTCTGCCTCCCAGGTTCAAGCAATTCTCCCTGCCTCAGCCTCCCAAGTAGCTGGGATTACAGGCGTGCACCACCACACCAGGGTAATTTTTCCATTTTTAGGCATTTCACCGTGTTGGCCAGGCTGGTCTCGAACTCCTGACCCCATGTGATCTGCCCACCTCAGCCTCCCAAAGTGCTGGGATTACAGACATGAGCCACTGTGCCCGGCCCCTATTGGATTATATTCACACTGTAATGGAAAGCCAATACATACTATACAATGTGTCTTAAAAGCACCATAATGTTTTAATTAAACCCTTTTTTCTAGGAAAAGAAAATTCCTAAGATTAAAAAATTAGAGTAAATCAGTAGGGGACCTTGATTCCCTAATGCTACAAAACCTTAACTGTTAAAGATGTTTAATGTTTATTCTATTTCACCTAAAAATATGTTGCACATAAAAGGAAAAGAGCAAATTACAGCATTTTTTAAAAGAAAACAAATTTCCTTATCATTCTTGACTTACGGGTACTCCACCTGTTATCATACCACATTATGACATGCTTCTATTTCATTAGAAATTATTTTTATTTTATTTATTTTTTTAATTTTTTGAGACAGAGGTCTTACTCCCGTGGCCCAGGCTGGAGTATAGTGGTGCTATCTCAGATCATGCAACCTTGACTTCCTGAGCTCAGGTGATCCTCTGATCTCGGCCTCCTGAGTGGCCGGGGCTACAGGCATGCACCACCACACTTGGCTAATTTTTTGTATTTTTAGTAGATATGGGGTTTCACCATGTTGCCCAGGCTGGTCTTGAACTCCTGGGCTCAAGCAATCCACCCACCTCAGCCTCCCAAAGTGCTGGGATTACAGGCATGAGCCACTACACCTGTCCAGAAATGATTTTAATCCATATAAAGTTACAGATTTCTTCATGGTTATTTTCTGTAGTGCTCTGTGTTGCCCTAAAACCACTGGTCCCAATGAGCCATGTGTCCTGGTTTTTCTGAACCTTGTGCAGAATCCTTCCACATTGAATTTGGGCCAATCCTGTGATTTGCTGTCACCAACAGAATCCACTAGAAGTGATGTTGGGCTAGACTGCAGCCTGAGCTTTAAGAAAGTCTGGTATTCTTTCCCATTGCCTTTTTTGGAGCCATCAGTCCATTAACTAAGGTGTCTGGCTATACTGCCAGGTCACAAGGTGATCTTATAGAGGGGGTCGTGTAGATGGAGAGCAGCTCTGAGACTACACAAAAAGAGAGATACTCAGCCTTTCATCTGACCACAGTGAAGGCGACATGTGAAGGAAACCAGCCACAAGAGACCCCAAGTGACACCATGAGAAGAACCATTCACTGAGCCCAGTCAATGCACAGAATTGTGAGAAATAATAACGTGGCTATTGTCTTCAACCCCTTATTATCATTATGAAGCAAGAGAAAACAAGAACAGCAATTCCATTACCTGTATAAGCAGTTGTGATACTAAGAAGGAGCATCTCCTTGGTGACACATAACTTAAAAGACTTTTCTGTAAAGAAAAAAATTTAACAGTACTTAATTCGATTTTAGTTAATAAAACAAACATTCTAAAACAGTCCTTCAACCAAAACACCCCTTGTCAATAATGCCAGTAAACGAACACTTTGGGATAGAAGTTTCAGATTAAAATGCTTAAGGCATGCACTAAATTTGCCCTATAAATAAAATGCTTATTTCAAGTGCTTAAATATATTCTACAGTTGCATTTCCTCAGCACATTTTCCAGCTCGTATAACAAAAACATGAAAAGGAGGGAAAAAAATAGAATCAAACAAAACAACAAAGTACTTCAAAAGGCATGATTAACTGTTAGGCTCTTGAGACAACCAACAATCAGCAAAGCACTGACTTCCCTAAAGAATTATCACGGAGCAGCTTTAAGGTTGGACTCAAGATCAGAATCACAGGGCAGGTTTTTGGCCATACAGAAGCTGGGCACCACTTCCCAAGATTCTGACTCTGTAGCACTGAGGGCTGAAACTTGCGTTGTGCATATTTGTTTCTAGTCACTTTAGTGTTTGTTTTTTACACTGTTTATTTAGTTGAAATCTGCAATGGATAATGCATTTCTAAAAACTCTGCATTTACCTGACTTTTTTGGAACCTATTCACATTTCATAATTTAAGGACCACTACTCTAGTACACAAAACTAACAGTGGATCCAGATTTTAACTGTGATTTATCTGCTGGCCACGAAACTTACCTAAATCATAAACACTGTCCTAAATCTCTGCATATGTAAGAAAGGATACTTTTTTCTCTAATTTCACTGAACTATACTAAGAATAAATATAAGAAGACATTTTTGACCAATCACTTTCAAGTATTTCCAGGAAAAAAATACACGACCAGTGCAAAGTTTAAAACAATACTTTTAACTTAAAAAACTGCACTAGCAAAGCATGTTCATTTTACTTTATTTATTTAGTTTTTGTTTGTTTGTTTGTTTTGAGACAGTCTCACTTTGTCACCCAGGCTGGAGTACAGTGGCGCGATCTTGGCTCACTGCAGCCTCTTCCTCTAGGGTTAAAGCGATTCTCCTGCCTCAGCCTCCAGAGCAGCTGGGATTATAGGCGCATACCACCACGTCCAGCTAATTTTTTTGTACTTTTAGTAGAGACGGGGTTCTGCCATGTTGGCCAGGCTGGTCTCAAACTTCTGACCTCAGGTGATCCACCCACCTCGGCCTCCCAAAGTGCTAGGATCACAGGCGTGAGCCACCACTCCTGGCCACATGTTCATTTAAGAATAATCAGAAGACTTAGTTAACACAAAGAAATTCTAAGAGATTATCTAGTATGATCCTATTATGACATATGCATGTCATTATATATTTGTACAAACCCATAAAACGTACCACACCAAGAGTGAATCCTAATGTAAACCATGGTCTTTAGGTGATAACGACATATCAGTATTGGCTCATTATAACAAATGTGCTCTGGTGGGGAACATTAATAACAGAGGGAAGTTACGTATGTGTGGTATAGGGGCCACATAGGAACTCTATACTTTCTGCTCAGTCTTGCTATGAATTGTAAAACGATTTAAAACATAAAGTCTATTAAAAAAAACCATCAATCTATTTGCAGAAATAGATTGATCCTAAAATTCATGGCCAGACCTGGTGGCTCATGCCTATAATCCCAACAATTTGGGAGGCTGACTTGGGAGAATCGCTTAGCTTTGGCAACATGGTGAAACTCTGTCTCTACAAAAAACTACAAAAATTAGCCAGGCATGGTGGTTCACACCTATAGTTCTAGCTACTTAGGAGACTGAGACGGGAGGATCGCTTGAGCCTGGGAGGTTGAGGCTGCAGTGAGCTCTGATCACGACACTGTACTCCACCCTGGGCGGCAGAGCAAGACTCTGTCTCAAAAAAAAAAAAAAAAAAAAAGGAAATCCAAGGGACCCACAACAGCCAAAATAATCTTGACAAATTACAAAGTTGGAGGATTCACACTTTCTGATTTCAAAACATACAGTAATCAACACAGCATGGTACTGGCATAAGGATATATCTATCTATCTAGAGATAAACATTTATATTTATAGTCAATTGATTTTTGACAAGAGAGACCAAAAAACAGACTTTTCAGCAAACTGCGCAACTACAACAGGATACTGACGTGCAAAAGAATAAAGCTGGAGTCCTATCTCAAACCATATGTAAAAATTAACTGAAAATGAATCACAGACCCAAATGGAAGAGCTAAAACTAAAAAAACTCTTAGAAGAAAATATAGGAGTAAATTTTCAGGACCTGGGGTGAAGCAAAATCTTAGGACATCAAAAGCACACACAACAAGAGAAAAACTAAACAAACTGACTACATCAAAATTAAAAACTTTATCAAAGCCACAGTAAGATATCCCCTCACACCTGTTGGGATGGCTATTATCAAAAAGACAAAAGATAACAAGTGTTGGTGAGGATGTGGAGGAAAGAGAACCCTTGTCTGCTATTGGTGAGAATGTAAATTGGTACAGCGAATATGGAAAACAATATGGAAGGTCCTGAAAAAAACTAAAAACATGTTATGATTCAGCAATTCTACTTCTGGGCATATATCCAAAGGAAATGAAAGCAGTATCTCAAAGTGATAGCTGCACTCCCATGTTCATTACAGCACTATTATGTGTATGTGTGTGTGTGTGTGTGTTTATTAATTATGTAGCAAAGACATGGAAACAACTAAGTGTCCTTAAACAGACGAATAAAGAAAATGTGGTATATACAATGGTATATTATTCAGCCTTATAAAAGGAAATCCTGCCATTTAGGGCAACATGGATGAACCTGGAGAGCATTACACTAAGTGAAATAAACCAGACACAGAAAGACCAATACTGCATGATCTTACTTAGATGTGGAATATTAAAAAGTTGAACTCATAGAAGCAGAGAGTAGCATAGTGGTTGCTGGGGCTGGAGGGTGGGGGAAATAGGGAGATGTTGATTAAAGAGTACAAAGTTTCCTTTAGGCAAGATGAGTGAGTTCTGAGGATCTAGTGTACAACTTGGTGTTGACAGTTAATAACACTCTATTGTACACTTGAAATTTGGTTGGAAAGTAGATCTTAAATATTCTCATTACACATGCAAAAAAAAAAAAAAAGATAACCATGTGAGGTGATGGATATGTTAACAAACTTGAGTGTGACCATCATGTCACAATGTATACATATATCCAAACATGTTATGTTCTGGCGCCTGGCCAGAACTTTTATCTAGAGTATATAAAGAACTCTTACAACTCATTAATAAAAACAGAATCCAACTTAAAAACGGGCAAAGGATCTAACTAGGGCCGGGCGCAGCGGCTCAAGCCTGTAATCCCAGCACTTTGGGAGGCCGAGGCAGGTGGATCACTTGAGATCAGGAATTGAAGACCAGCCAGGCCAACATGGTGAAACCCCGTCTCTACTAAAAATACAAAAGTTAGGCAGGAGGGGTAGCACGCACCTGTAATCCCAGCTACTTGGGAGGCTGAGGCAGGAGAATCACTTCAACCTGGGAGGTGGAGGTTGCAGTGAGTTGAGATTGTGCCACTGCACTCCAGCCTGGGTGGCAGAGCAATACTCCATCTCAAAAAAAAAAAAAAAAAAAAAAAAAAACCACCGGAAAATAACTGCAAGCAGGTGGAAACAGTGGCAAACTCATCCTCTGCTAGTAGAAATGTAAAGTTGTGTAACAATCTGGCAGTTCCCCCACAGGCTAAGCAGTGAAATACCACATGAAGCAGCAATTCCACCATTCCTAGGTGTGCATCAAAGAGATCTGAAAACACATCCACACAAAAACCTGTACACGAACTTTATGTATTACTCACTGTGGGAGTCCAGTCAGGATGGAGAGGAAAATTATAAGACGCAAACCTTCTTGGAAGGCCTGGGGCATTTGCATAAGCTCCAGTAATAAACTTAGCTGAAGGAGCCTTGTCCCCTTAGTTAAATAAATTAGAGTAGAAACAAAGGAATGTGGGGAGTTTTAAAAAAAAAAAAAAAAAAGGAATGTGGGGAGTTTATCTAACTAGCTTGTTTACTCATGTGGTCCTAAGACTAACCTTTGATTTACCAGGGGTGCTTAATTGTTTTCTACTGGGGCAGTCCAACTGTTTTTCTTTTTTCTTTTTTCTTTTTTTTTGGAGACAGTCTGGCTCAGTCGCCCAGGCTGCAGTGCTCACTGCAAGCTCCGCCTCCTTGGTTCACACCATTCTCCTGCCTCAGCCTCCCGAGTAGCTGGGACTTAGCTGGGACTACAGGTGCCCGCCACTAGGCCAGGCTAATTTTTTTGTATTTTTAGTAGAGACGGAGTTTCACCGTGTTAGCCAGGATGGTCTCCATCTCCAACTGTTTACAGCACTCTGTGTGGAGTCTCGTAAGCTGCCCGGATGCTCAAACTGGTAAAGCAGAATATCTGTGTGTCAGTGTACTTTATTCATCCGTTGTTGGGTCAGGGTCGGCAAGACAGACCCCTGAAACTCATAATACATAAAATATAGAAATGACTCAAATTTTATAATATATTGTGACATGAATGAGCCTTGAAACCATTATGTTAAAAGAAACCAGGCACAAAAGACCACATGTTGTACGATTCTATTTACATAAAATGTCCAGAATAGGCAAATCTATAGACAGAAAGTAGAGGAATGGTTGCAACAGTAGTGAAAGGGGAGAAAGTGGGAGTGCCTTAGGGCGGTTGGATTAGGAGGCTGGAATGAGAAGTGACTCTAACGTGCATAGGGAAAATGCTCTAAAATTGAGTAAAGTAATGGCTACGCAACTCTGAATATAATAACTCGTACTGAATTTGCAATGGATTCTTTAAATTGATTAAATGGGTGAACCATATGGTACATGAATTATATCTCAATTTAAAAAAGCAGAATCCAACACCTTAATGAATCTCCTTCCAGACTTTTTCTATGCATTTTTTACAAAAACAAATTCTACTATATATACTCTATTTTATCATTTGTTT